ATAAAAAATGTTGAGAAGCCCAAATTGCCCAAACTAGTTTGGGCTTTGAGAAAACAGTTTGGACCAGAAACCTTATTAGCGTCATTCCAAAGCAAGTGGAAGACCTTCCATCACTTATAAAGGCACCACTTTCTTGTAAGTTACCTGCGTCTGCTAATGAGGAAGATAAGTATCATCTTCGAGAATTTATATATACAAATGAAGAAGATCGTGAAAGTCAATTAGCTTCACATATAAGTTATGTGTTAAGTAATGCCATCCCATGGCGATACAACACAGGCAACAAATCGGAAGATATGATGCACATGCCCATAGACTTGTTGATCAGTAATACACTTGAATTATTTAAGGAGAACCTTGGCGAAGCTCTTCCAATTGACCTTGATCGCAATAGGGCAGACCCAGGATCAACAACAAAAGGGTCTTCTCGGCCAGACTTTGTTTGCTGGTTAAAAGATGCAATGGTACTAAAGGGCGAAGAGAAGGCCAGTGCTAAAGACTTTAAGATGGCTCTTCATGATCTTGATGAGAAATTCAATCGAATTGACCCTCTGATTTTTGGTGACATTGAATTTATAATCTGTTATGCAGTGGCAGGGCCGAAGTTGTGCTTTTATGCAATTGACGGGTCGCAGGATGCTCCTAACTACTTAGTTCCGCTCTCAAATGAGCTTGACATTACTATACCTCAGAATCGAATCACAGCTATTCATATTGTTATTAATATTACACGCATTATTAGAACCATAGGGAAAGAAATAATCATTCCTCTTAGTGGTAGAAATCTTAATTAAATTAACTGCCTACTATTTAAAAAAAACTTTATTTATATAGATTAGTTTAGTATTAAAGTTTCGGGATCACTAAAGGAGAAGAATAATGAGAAAAGTGAATAAACTAATGCTAAAAATCGAACTGGTTAATCTTTGAATTAATTTTAATTTGGATATTATGAATTAATTCCATTTTTTTTTGGTTATCCAACTGGAACGAAGTCAAAATTAAAGATATGGTTGTTGAAGTTTGCTCATTTCCTCTAATTCAGCAGTTATCGCACTGAAATAATAAAAATGAAAAGTCATAATAATCAAGTAGTAAAATAATTTTAACACAAAATTTTTGAAAAATTCATGTATTATCGGCGGTCCTGAAGTACCAGTATAAAAGAAAAATTATTCCAAATCCTGAGGTTGACAATTCTGGTAGAGGAAGAAATGGAAAGGGTGGTTATTTCTGACAAAGAGATATTAGATAGTTTAAAAATTTTTTTAAAAATCCACCAACTTTTCCATGGTTGAAGAATATGAATTTCGAACCAGCAAGATAAGTAATTTCATCCATTGCATATTTCAGAATTATATTAGATTGAATATTAAGTTTTTCTCTCGATTTTTTTTTTATACCTGTTCCTCTTACTATACAAGCTTTGTAAATCCACAATACTGCCTTGATTATATTAATTTATTCAAGCATATGATTTTATTATTTCAACAAATAAGATTTATCATTTAATTAAAATACACGCAATTTAGTCTTTGTGCTGATTTTTTATTGTCAAAGGTATAATAATTGTATCTGATGTTATTTAAAAATATAAAGAAAGAATTGAAGGCGGTGTTACAACAGTTGATAAAATATAAGTCACGTGTTAGAACATTAACAAAATAATAAAAAAAAATTTTTCATCACCAAATATAAAGCAAATAATATATAAATTTGTTTCACTTCATTGCAAAGATTTAGGTGCCAGATTACATTGATTAGTTCTAACACACCAAAGTGGTTGTAATGGATCGGCCCTAGTACCACGTAAAACCATTCTAAATCTCCAATCATTTAATCTTGGTAATGCATCTTTAAGATCACGGGCTTGTCCATTCATGTCAAAATTACCCGACCAGAGAACTTCAGCAGCCGAGGATGATCTTGGCCATAAGTAACTTTCATAGTTCATTGAATCCGATTGCTCGGACCATAATAACACCTCACCTATAAACATATAAACATATTAGTCATATGAATCGATATGAATGAATATTTGTGAACATCTTTAATTAATCTAAACATCAATCAAACCTCCGATAACAAATTTTGATTCCTCAGGTGTTAATCCCTGAATTGGATTATATGTGTAAATTTTTTGCCAAGTTTTATATGGATCACACCTAATAATAAAAATTTAAACAATAATAACTTAAATAATTATAAATTATAATCAATGTACACATACATATATGGAAATTATATGTAAATATGTTATGCATACCAACTATTTCCATTTGGAAAATTACCAACCCATGCACCATGACCACAATCCAAATACCAATAATCACTACTACCAGTCACAACTCTATAACCTTGATTAACAACTTCCTTAACATGTTTTGCATTTGTCCAAACTTGTACCACAACATCAGAAGGTAATTTCAATTTATGATTAACAATTGCTTCTTCCCAAATCATTGGAGTTTTCCCTTGTTTTCTAACTACATTATGTAATTCATGGTAAAATTTCTCGATCAGTGTATCGCCGGTTGTGCCAGGGTTATTAGCAATATAATCACTTATTGACTCATCACTCGTCCAACAATTAATATTTATTTCATCTCCACCAGAATGATAAAATTTGTCAGTAAATAATGAAGTGATTTCAGTAACTAACTTCTCAACAAATTGATAGGTTTCTGGTAAGACTGGGTTCAATTGACCACTTGGAGGGCTTGCTGAATACTACTAAAATTAAAAAATTTAATCATCATTGTATTTGTAATATGTATGTGTATATTATATATATAATGTCTTAGCATATTACCAAATCCCAATCTGGCTGCTTATTTGGACACACAATTCTATATAGAAAAATTAAATAATTTGGGTAGATAAATCAATTTTAAAATAGTAATAATATTAACAATAAAATTATCATCGTTACATACAATTCTGGTTTACTATAAGAAATAGAAAAGGTATGACCAGGCATATCAAATTCAGGAATGATTCGAACACCTCTCTATAAAAAAACCAAATTATATGATAAAATATTAATATAACAATATAATATAACTAATTATTAATATTACCTTTTGTCCAAAATTAATAATGTTTTTTATATCTTGATTTGTGTAAATCATTGTTTTTGAATCATAAGCCCCTTTTTCACTTAATTCGGGAAACTCTTTACTAACATAAGGCCAACTAGTAGCATCAACTATATGCCAATGAAATACATTAAATTTATTCCAACTCATTGTTTCTATAATTTTCAAGATATCTTTAACAGGGTAATAATTTCTTGAAGTGTCTAATAATAATCCACGATGTTTATACTTGGGATAATCTTTAATTTCGTGTGGTGCAAAAGGAATATACGCAATAGATTTATTTTCATCATCGTCTTTAACATCATAAATCAATTGAGAGAAAGTTGTGAGAGCATGCATTGCACCATAAATATTTTTAGCTTTAATACACGCGGTTAAATATGATGATGTTGATGATGTTGATGGAATTGATAATTCATAAGATTCGTCGGTTTCAATTGATAATTCATCATTATTAGATTCGATTTCAATGATTAAAGCTTTTAGAGTTTTCAAATCATTAGTTACATCAAATTTAACATTTGGTGAAATAAAGTTTTCATCAATAAAATCTTTGAATCGATTTTTTGTAAATTCTACAATTTGTTGCAAGTTTTCACTTTGATTGTTCAATTCATCTAAAAATTTAAATTCAATTGATAAGCTTGGATAAACCTTAAGAACCTGACCCCCTTTTGACCAAATTTGAGGAATAGGCCATAATGCATATGTTAATAAAGGTGAAATAAATAATATTATTAATAAAATTGAATTGGGTTTTAAAAATATCATTTTTAATTTCTTCGAAAGGAAAATTCTAAAGAAACTAATAAATAATGAATGATCAACGTAGGATGCAGAGGATCCATACCAAACTTATCAAAATGATTGTGCCGAAAATTACTATAATACTATTTGATTTATAAGAGTTCAAATAATTTCATATTAATATTAATATATAGGACATGCTGCAACAAAACCAGACAGAGTGAACATTGGTAAAAGGAATGTACTTGGGGGATTACATGATCATTTATTTATTTATTTTTATAAACTGTATACAGTCAAAGCTCGTTATAGTGGACCCTTGGTTCCATATGTAATTTTTCTCCTTTTTTCCACTATAACGAAATTTTATTATGTTTTCCACTATATCGAGCGAAATTAATTAGCATTGGAAACAAAAAAGATCCACTATAACGAGATTTTATTATGTGTCCACTATAACGAGATCCATTATAACGAGCTTTGACTGTAGCAGTTTTTTAGGTTTTTGATACCACCAAAACAAATGGGGAATTCAATCAAAAGTGGTTCTTGCTTTATATATAACCCTGGTAATGGTAAATGCATTGTACATGCTGATAATTCGTTTCCAGATATTCTTATTCCAAAAACATGAATCTTACTTATTTGATCTGCTACTTTCTTTGGGCAGTTCTTTTCACAAGGTAACTAATAAGTGTAAAGTGTAAAGGATCGTGGAAAATTGTATATAGAATTCAACAAATAAACTTGATGCAACAATTTATTGATATTGAATATGATAACAAGTAAAAGAATAAGGTGAAAATAATTTGCACAATTCTTTTTTGCATTAGATTCATAAATGCAAATAATTGGCTTGTTGACTTCCACCCAGGATTCAAGCCTTGCTCTGGCTTGTTACAAATGATCTTTCTGAGGGAAGTCCTCAACCTCTCTTTCCATTACAAGTGATCAATACATGAAATTTACCAACAAGTCATAATCAACATGTTTTAAATTTGTTATGGTCAATACCCTCCTGGGTTTCAACAAAACATCTAGATTAATAAAAAGTGATTTACTGAACTCAATGAATACAAGCTGTCCACTTGTATCTGTAGCTATTGCAATTTGTGTTTCCATGCTAATTCCACTAATATCTTTTTCTTAACTTCCTCAATTGCCAATACAACCAATACCATATCATATTCTTTTTGATGACAAGCACATTCACTATCAACACTCAAATTATAACCATATTTGACAAGTGTATTAGCTCATGCTCTATATGAACATTGGGTCTTATTTAATTCACCACAATTTGTAACAACTCGTGGATTATATATAATGAATTTCTAATTTGATTTAAATTAGATTTTGGCTCTTTTCATATTGTTGTATTTCCTCTTGATGTTAAACATAAAGTATAGTGATTTTTGATAATAAATATGAATCATATCATATGGTTGGTGATTGGCTACCAATAATGAACATATATGATTTCTCTGTCCTTCATAAATAGAATCATATAAAGAGCTATATACTAGGATTCCATACAGTGATCAATGCTTGTCTTTCAAAAATTTTAACAGATTTGGACAGGTCATGATAATCACATACACGCATTTTAAAAATGGAACAACAGAACAGGCATCTCCTGAATTCCTTTTGAGCTTGTTCTTCACCTTTTTTGTCATATATGATATATATATATATATATCCCATCTTTCTTTGTTTCACAATATAGCAAAGGATACTTTCACATTATTATAACATCAATTGCAGAAACAGATCCATCACCTGATGTAAGACTCTTCAACATGGCAAATACCTTAAGTTTTCTAAACCTCAATTTGGAATCCCAATGAGCTAGTTTTGTCGAATTTCCTGACAACTTCAAATATACAGGACTTGTTGCATCCAATACTGATAATGCCTGTACTTTTCCATCATGTTTTCCACAACCCATGCACCACAAATTTCAGGTTTACAACCTATTTTTATCTTAGACTTCATTATGGCTCATTGTAATGGTGGATCAATATATACATCAATCTCATACCAACCATTAGTTAATTTGAGTTTCATCATATGAAAGGAGGATGTTGATGACAAAGATAATGTTGTTGATGGAGTGATGTTTATCATCAATTATTTCTGATACACAAAGAACCATGGGCAATGGTGATGAAGCATCATCTTCTACAATTAACTTAATAGCAGATTTGTGTTCACAGTTTATTTCTCTTTCATAACTGTATTTTAATTGATCAAGTATTTTTTCAGATGACAATCATGAATGTTTAGCATCAATTTTACATTTGAAACCTTGTTTTGAAGAGTAGTTAATATTTTCTTTTTAAAAAAAAATTTTTATAAGGAATAGTTAAATCAAATATAATTTAATTAATTATATTTACCTTGAAAAGATAATCTCGAATCATCATGATATTATCAGTAATAATTCAGTAAAAGTGATATTGTGAGGAAGAGGGTTCTATGAAGACATACATGACATAATTATGGTGGTAAGCTAGTAAAAGGACTCATAATAAGCTTGAATGTTATTTTAGTTTGGTCAAACTTACAGCTTCTGTAAATAAGCTTTCACTTGAATGCCATCAAAATTTTCATAATCATTGTATTAATAATTTAAACAAAAGATTTTTGGAGTTTGATTTTGATGAGTATTTATTGTTCTATTTTTTACATCCAGGTTTCAGAGGCAAATAAATAAAATAAATAAAAATTAAGAAATGATTGATTATTTTATATTTATCTCTTTATCTCATTTAATCTTTCTGAAAACAGGTATTGGCATTAAATTTGGAGAATTCATCATATCGCCAAAATTTCTGCTTCAAAGTTGGAAACTGATAAAGCTTTAATGAGTCAATTGGTAAATTATAAAGAAAATCAGGATACTTATAACATTCCATATGGTCCAAGTCTAATTATTCCATATGGTTGATGGTCATGTATTGAAATAAAACCTAATTATATTCAACAATTGGCTAAAAAATTGTTTGCTATTACACCACATGCAGCTTCTTGTGAAAGGATTTGGTCAACTTGAAAAGGTGAAATTTAAGTACTGAGCATGTTGAATCATTAGCTGAAATTCATGGTTATTATGGTCTCAAATTGCAAGGAAGAATTGAAAATAGCAGGAGAAAATATTTCTGAAAATGAAATAATGGATACTTTTTTGACAGCTCAAGATGATAATGAGGATGATGATGATATAAAAGCATCTTCATTAAAAGAAGAAAATAGTGATATAAATGCTAATGAGGGACTTCCAGAACCTTATATTTTAATTATTCAAAATACAATGGATTTATGACATTCTAATTTTCAGGATCTAGATGATGATGATGAAAATAGATCAGAGTATTTATCTGAAGAAGAAAACATATTGGCTAATGATAGTATTATGAAAGGAAGGAAGAATATAATTCAAATGAATTGGTATCACCATTTATGACAGCATTATATAGTTCCAATTTGTAAAGAAAAATTTTTTATAATAATTATTATTACATTATTTTGCTATACATATCAAAGATTTCAGTCACCTCATTGATAATTTGTTCAAGTTCACTAAAATTATTTTTTATAATAAAATTAACAAAAACTAAATTTATATAGATTAATTTAATGTATGTATGGTTTTGTTATCTAATCGTAGGTTTGACAGTTTAGGAGTTTCGCCCATAGCATGGGCAATTTTTGAGCTTCGCCACTAGCTTAGGAGCCTAAACTCCTGGGCGAAACTATTTCGGATTTCCTAAAATAATCTTGAACCTCAAAGGGTGGTGATATATCAAATTCCCAATAGTGTTTCTGATCCCTGGTGATGATAAATCAAACAATTTTTGTCATCTACATGTCTATTAAAAATTAACATTTATTTGATCAGTAAAAACTGGAGTTATGGTTAATTGAAATGGCAATGATCGCGACCATTATCATTCTTTTAATAATAACTAGAGTGACGACGAGTGGCAATAACAACCATTCTTATGATAAATACTTACCCAGCAATTTCATTTTCATTTTTTTCTTGTTTTCTTTTGGCATTTTGAAAATAAAAAAATAAAAAATACGCGTTTAAAAAAAATCACATTATTATTATTGGCACTTGATGTTGTACAGAGGGGGTTTTTTTTTTTTTTGGAAAAACAATCTTATTTTTTTTAAAGATGACAAAACGTGTCTCCTAAAGAAGACATGCTAATAACTAACCAGAGGTACTTTTTTTTTTAATTTGCATTGATATAATATAGTGTCTTTTATTTTATAAATATTTTAATTGAAATCAAAATGTGGAGCAGATCTTGCTGGGTAAATTATAAGATCCCTGATGATGATAAATGAACGATTGGTATTTGCATTGCGTAATCATAATTAATATTAATAATATAATAAATAATTACAAGATGTCAAGGCAACATGACTGACTGTTGAAAAGAAACATTTTGATATGCAATGTTTGATTATCAGGAAATTGGCAGATGTTGAAGCACGCACACTACCTTGAACACTTTACAGTCATTCCCACGTATTCCTCATGTACAAAGGCTAATATCTGACTTTGAGTATAATTTATTTTAATTGCAATTTTCTCCTTGTTCTTTCTTCTGATTGTACTATAATACTTGGGTTCCATAGTAGATCTGATATAAATGAGTTTCATGTTATTATTTTTATATAGATAGGTAGTTCTATATACAAAGAAAAAAAATCAAAGATAATAAATGGACATTATAAAATTATAATTGTGATCATAATGACTAACTGTTAAATAATTATATAAATTATAATCATAATTTTGGTCCCTGAAACATTGTTAATACAAATGTTCATTTTGTCTGATTATGTATAAATTATAAGATTTACAGCATAAAGAAATTTTGAAAAACCAAGGCATGAGAATGATTCTGAATAGTGGTAGTACTATTAGTAATTCTAGTGGTCAAATGGATTCAATTGCAGTGGAAGAAGCTTTATTACCAGTTTTTGATATTCAGCAAAACACTGAATTGTTTAATCAGGAAGCAGATTTATCATTATCATTATTATTGCTACCGTTACCGGAATTAGGATTCAACGCTAATTTTTTGGCCGAAATACCCTAATTCCCAATCAAATCTTCTATTTTTTTTTATTTCATTTCTTTATTTATATTTATAGTTATTTTTATTCGTATAACGTCGAATTAGTTAACTTTATTTAGAAATTAACGTCGCAATTGAAGTAATTAAATTGCTGGATCGCAATGAAGTTGCTACTAATTAATTTAATTGTATATAAGAAACTCAAATTCGTCATGCTTGTAAAATAACTTTGCATTAGTTTAATAACTTTGTAATAAAGTTTTAATTAACTTGGAAATAAGTCAATAAATTAGTTTTGACTAAATAAAACGTTTTCTTAAATCACTAAACCAAAATTATTCGCTAATACGTTAGTAGTAATAGCCAATTAATCCTGGATCCACATAATCATAAATTTATATCGTTATCATCAATTAATAAGCTCTCCCAAATAATAATTGGTGACACTACTACTTCTACCTATAAAACTGAAAAACCATCTGACCTTTGCTTTCTTGTTTAGATTGAATTAATGCTGATACTACCTTAACCAAAGAAATTTCTCTTAGATAAATATTACTATGGATTTTTAGTGCCTTCACTTTTGATTAATGTAGTTTTACTGATTTTGCCAAGCATGGTATTTAGATCCATGATTATAAGTGGGTAGCACACAAATAATTTGATTACTGGTTTCGTTTTTGTTTTCCGTGAAACAGAAGTCTTGTTTTGGGAAATTTCAATTTGATTGATTTATAAAAATATTATTTATTAATATTTTTCGTTTGAACTTTCTCCCTTAAATTTAGCAAAAGGATAAATATTTTTTTTTAATCACCAAAACATATATGAAAAATGGCTGAACTTAGTGCATATCTTATTTTTGTGGCTTTTTCAATAGTACTTGGTTCTTTTCAATGTGGATATCATGTAAGCTTCGTTAAATAAACAGATTACGAAAATTTTAAAAAAATCAAAAAATTTATGATAACTGAACTATATTAGATGGGCGAAATGAACATTCCACAAAGAATTATATCTTGTGAACCAAACCCTTCCGATGACTCATCAACTTCTATTAATGACTACACTTTACCAAGTTGCATACCAATGACACAAACACAATATTCTTTAGTTACTTCTATATTTAATTTGGGAGGTTTATTGGGATCTCTTATGGCTTCACGCATTGCCGATAATAAAGGAAGAAGATGGGCTTTATTAGTAAACTGTGTATTTTTCGCAGTTGGACCTACAGTAATGGGTTTTGCAAAAAATTATGGTGAATTGATTTTTGGAAGAGTTTTAGTTGGTATTGGAAGCGGTGTGGTAAGTGTTATTGTCATATTAAAATCAATTTCATGATTCAAGTTTCTAATTTAAAAAAAAAAGCTTTATAATTAATATCTATCTATTTATTTAAGGTTCTTGTGGTAGTACCTATGTATCTTATTGAAATATCACCAATAGATTATCGTGGCGTTTTTGGTATGTGTATAATTTTTATGAGAAGTTAAATATAATATATATATGTTGATTTCCTTAAAAAAAAAAAAAGAGAATTAGAGAAACATTTGCTCATAAACAATGTTATTAATTCTGTTTATTTATAAAGGCGTAACAAATCAATTGGGACTTGTACTTGGAATACTGTTTTCACAAATTCAAGGGCTCTACCTTTCTAGTGTTCCTGGTTGGCGTGTTATATTTTTAAGTGCAACAGCAATTTCTATCATTCAATTTGTATTTCTTCAATTTGCAGTAGAATCTCCACGTTATCTTTTGTCTAAACCTGCTGGTTACAACTCTGCGAAAAAAACATTACAATTACTAAGAGGTGATCTTGATGTCAATGAGGAGATTCAAGGATGGAAACAGGTAGACACTGAAGAAGAAACTGGTAATTTGATCCCTGGCAATAAAGGAGATGGAGATGAAGAAATAGATGTAATAGCAGATGTTAACAATCACCATACAATCTCTTCACAACAAAATGATAACAGTGGTGAAATACCAGCTTCACTAAATGAAAATGTACCACAAGTAGTTTTTCATGCTCATAATCCAAATGAGAATTTTAGCATTTATAAATTTATAACCAGTGTGCATTATCGTCCAGCTTTATATGTGGTATTGCTTTTACTACTTACGCAACAATTTTCTGGAATTAATGCAGTTATTTTTTACTCAACTGAAATACTTGCTAAAATCTTTCCAACTTCAAGCAGAGCCATCACTGTATTTATAAGTATAGTTAATACAATAATGACCTTGGTTTCAGCAGCATTAATAGAAAAATCTGGTCGAAGAAAATTATTATTATATTCAATTTCATCAATGAGCTTGAGTAGTACGGTATTGGCTTTAAGCATAAATCATAATTGGGGTTTTTTAGCTGCATTTTCTATTGTTGCATTTGTAGCATCTTTTGCTGTCGGTCTTGGACCTATACCATTTTTAATTATACCAGAAATTGTTGATACTACTGCAGCAGCAACAGCTTCAAGTCTTGGATTATCATTGAATTGGATGGCAAATTTTTTTGTTGGGTTTACCTTTTTGATTGTTAGGGAAATTTTAGGTGGCAGTGTTTTTTTCATTTTCACAATCTATTTGTTGTTTGCTTTCTATTTAACAAGATTACTTGTGCCTGAAACTAAAGGAAAAACGGTCGAAGAAGTTTGGTTTGGTTGGATTGAAAGAATGTAACAATAATGATTTTCAATTTAAAATTATGTATATAATGCTTGTTATTATTATTTCTTCATGATTCAAATCATTTTTTTATTTGTTGTATGTATTGTAAACAATAAAAATTGATCATCTTTTAATTTTGAATAATTCCAAAATACATATCATGGTAAGCATCATGCAAAGCTTGGACTTATCATTGATCCTTGTTTAAAAATTTAGTTGCATTTTTGATTGAAATGTGATCAAACAAGAACTACTCACCCAAAAGCAAAAGTAGCACAAAGACTCGCTGATAAGGCTTGAAATTTACAGTTCAATTAAAAAATGAGTTATTGTCATGCCAGAATACAAGCAAAAGCTTTGTTTCGGGTAAGCATGGTATTTTCAAGACTTGAAGAAAAAATTTTCAATTGATTATATCACCACTTTTATTAAATGATTTATATTTCTTTATACATATTAGGATAGTAATTACCAAACTATAATCACCCAAACGTTATAATTTCATCTGGTGACAAATCAGAAACGGCCATTAGTATCAGTAGGTTAATGTTGGTCAGACAACTTGCAAGAAAAGAAATAGACCTCTCTTTTTTTCCTTCCTATAATATTTAATGTAAATTAGAATGGCAGGAAAATAATGTTGGATCCCAAAGAAGAAAATCAAAGGAAAGAATGAAAGTCATGTGCAAATTTTATGTAATTGATTAGATTTATATCAAAGAAAAAAATACAGAGTGACAAGAAATGTACACAATATACATTTAATGATTTATTTATTACTAGATTTTTTATTTGGGAGAGTTAAAGACACTTACCGTAAATGGTTGTATTGGTAGCTACCATTGCCATTGGATAGCTACCATTTGCCGTAAATAATTATGGCATCCGCAAATAGATGCGGTTTCCGTAAATAGATACTGTTGCCACAAATAGCTACGGCTGCAGCAAATAGATACGGGCTGCCGCAAAATAACCAAATAGTTTTTCAAAGATTAATATAATTATTGTTATTAGTCATATGAAAATTACTGTGATATGGAGTAACGAATTGTTGGTTGTTCATTTATAGTAATAGTAATAGTGAAATTATCTGTTTGCGGAAACCGCATCTATTCGAGTCAGCCGTAAATATTTTATAAATGGTAACTATCAGGGGTAATTACCCTATTACTATAGTAGTTACCATTGCCGCAAATAACCAATTACGGCAGGTGTCTTTAGTGAAGGTAGCTTGTTTTGATTCCAAATAACAAATCGCTAAAAGATACATTTAATGTTTTTTTTTAATATGTAATTATTTAAAAAAATTTGTACAACTTTTTTTTTTATTGGCCTTGCAGATCTTTAATTCCTCCAAAAATGGAGCAAGGTAGATTTGATATAAAACCCTCATTATAACAAACCTCGATTTTAGAGAATCCCCAATATATATATTTTTTAATTATCACCTTTGAAATTTTTTTTCTTTTCTTTTTATTATTATTAATTTCTTGAAGACTTTAGGCTAAAAATCAAGGAAATTTTTATATCATTCTGTAAAAAAAGATGAGCCAAACAACAGCAGAATCTACTGATAGAAATGTGGAAATATGGAAAGTCAAAAAGTTGATCAAAAGTTTGGAAGCTGCCCGAGGGTAAAAAAAATTTTTTTTTGATGGCTTTTTGATTTATATTTTAATTTCATATGCCTGCCCATACATTTTTTTAATAAAAAACCGATAATATATATATTTTAATAGAAACGGAACTTCTATGATTTCTCTTATTATTCGTAAGTTATTATTATCTTTTGTAGCCTAAAAACTTTTCTTTCTACAAGATTATCTAATTGGATATTATTCGGGGGTGGATTTTTTTTGGAATAGCTCCCAAAGATCAAATTTCCCGTGTTGCTAAAATGTTGGCAGATGAATATGGAACCGCTTCTAACATTAAATCTCGAGTTAATCGATTGTCAGTATTAGCAGCAATCACATCTACTCAGCAAAGATTAAAATTATATACAAAAGGTATATATATATATGCTATTGGATTGATTCATTCATTAAAATAAATATATACGTGTAACCTATATAACTGATTTTTTAACCTTTATTTTATTTTACTTTGTTAGTTCCAACAAATGGACTTGTGGTTTATTGTGGCACCATTGTTACAGATGAAGGGAAAGAGAAAAAGGTTAACATTGACTTTGAACCTTTCAAGCCCATTAACACATCATTATATCTTTGCGATAACAAGTTTCATACTGAAGCATTATCTGAGTTGCTTGAATCAGATAATAAATTTGGATTTATTGTGATGGATGGTAATGGTGCTTTGTTTGGTACATTGAGCGGTAATACACGGGAGGTGATTCACAAGTTCGCAGTTGAATTGCCAAAAAAACATGGTAATTATTAGTTTATGAAAAAACTTCATCTATCTTTACTATCGTGAATAGTTTATTTAGATAAATATAAATATTTATGATTATATTTTATATAAAGGTAGAGGAGGTCAATCTGCGCTTCGTTTTGCCCGTCTTCGAGAAGAAAAACGACACAATTACGTTAGAAAAGTTGCAGAACTGGCGGTTCAGTTTTTTATTACAAATGATAAAGTATTTATAATTGAATATTTAATTTTTATCCTTTACTTAATTTTTTTTTTAAAAAATAAATCATAATTGATTATCATATATTTATCTCATTTTTATTATTTTTAGGTTAATGTTACAGGACTTATTCTTGCTGGTTCGGCAGACTTTAAAACTGAATTATCTCAATCAGATATGTTTGATAATCGTCTTCAAACTAAAGTTATTAAATTGGTTGATGTTTCATATGGAGGTGAAAATGGTTTTAATCAGGTATATATATACACACACACACTTGTATATGTATAAATATTATGGGAGGAGTGTATTGATAATTTTATTATAAATATTTATTTATAATGCAATATTAACGTTTTAGGCAATTGAACTTGCAGCCGAAAGCTTGGCTAATGTTAAATTTATTCAGGAAAAGAAACTTATTTCAAAGTATTTTGATGAAATTTCTCAAGATACTGGAAAATTCTGTTTTGGCGTGGATGACACCTTGAAAGGTCTTGAGTTGGGAGCAATTGAAACTTTAATCGTTTGGGAAAATTTGGAAGTTGCTCGCTATGTTTTGAAAAATGCTAATGGCAGTATGTACTTTTTTTATTTTATTTCTAAATATTAATTTCCAATTATGTTAATATTTATGTTTAAAATTTTTTTTAGCTGCATTTATTATTCATATGACCAAAGAACAAGAAAAAGAACGCTCACTTTTCCTTGATAAAGAAACAGGGGTTGAAATGGAAGTTGTGGAGAGAACGCCACTTTTGGAATGGTTTGCTGATCATTACAAGGACTATGGTGCGACTTTAGAATTTGTAACCAATCGTTCTCAAGAAGGTTCACAATTTGTTAAAGGATTTGGTGGAATTGGTGGACTGCTCCGTTATAAAGTTGATTTTGAAACTTTGAATTACAATAGTGAAGATGATGGTTTCTTTTCTGGTTAGTAACATTTTTTTTTTTTTGATTGACGGCTGTTGGTTGTATTATTATATATAACAAAATTTTGTTTTTTTTTTTTTTACTAAATTTATTAACATCATCATCAGATTGACTTAAGGATGGGTCGGTTTGTCAAAAAACCACTATTTTGTTTGATAAAGATAACATGTCTCCAAAACCATTTGAAGTCCTTTTAATGCAAGATTGATTGATTTAAATTCAATTTGTTGATAAATTAATTTTCCTAAAAATAATCTAAACAATTAAAATCACTTATTATTTATTATTTTTAGTGTTGCGAAAAAAAACGGCGATGACAAAAAATTGCATAATTAAATAAATTTAGGTTCGTTTGAAATTCTATCAATTATTTGATATGAAATATTATTATTGCCAGTTTTTGTAAAACTAACTTACATATTTATTTATTTTTAAGCTTCGCTACCTACCAAAAAGTATTGGACACCCCAAATGTATTAATTAGCAAAAATGACACAATAAAAATTATATCAGTCTGTAACTACTTGGGTTCTGAAGATTATGCATATAAAATTTAGTGTTTCTAGAATTTTTGAAAAACATTCCTTTTAATCCAATCGCTACTTTAAAAATATGATGGTGATCTTGCTTTTAAGATGAGATTTAAAATTTTCCAAGATCACCCCGTTCCACTACAACATTTACAGGTTTATTAATGGTGTGCATATTTGTTGTTAATTAATTAATATTGTAATAATGATCGACATTTGAAGCTTTCAGCATACAATGCAGATCATCTATAATCAATTACAATTGGTCAGCTTCAAAATACTAAAACAAAAATTTTATATATCATTTAAAAAAAAAAACCCCCCTCCGATAAGTTTTATTGTTCATGACTCAAGCTTCAAAACTCATCGGCTAAATTTTTTCTTAACTAGGAATTGGTATTTCCAAATTTTACCAAGAAAACTCTGTGTAACAAAATTTTTTCATGGAATATTTTTTTACAACACGTGTCGATTTATTTGTATTATTTATTTCCTTTTTTTTATTAATAATAAAAGTTCGCTTCCTTAATATCAAAAAAAAAACATTACCAAATTTGGTCAAATATTTGCAGCACAAAAATTATTATTGCAAAAAATCAGGCAAACTTTTTTACATCTGAATTGAATGGTAGTGGTGGATCACACATAAAATTTCAAATTTTTTTAATATAAGATTCAATTTTGTTGATTTATAGTTGTACAAAATTCTATACCATTTTGTCAATGAAACGTACCAAATATTAGGTCTTCAAGATGTTCTGATCCGTTAGCAAATTTAAGAAAATGCATCAAAAGGAATTAATGTAATCAAGAAATGATGTAATAGTAATTAGTAACTTTTATGAGCTAATATAAATTATTATTATATTACAAGTAGATGTCGATCGCTTATATGAATCTTTACTAAAATTTGTATTATTAATAATTATTTTTTAGGATCAAAATACGTTATGTCAAGTAAAAACCAAAGGTTAATATTTAAGATAAAAGTGGTCGGTGCGTTTTTTGGACAAATCTCAACGTGAGAATCACTGCATCCCAAATTTAATGCTTAGAAATCATGTGAATGAAATCCATTATTAAAATGAAACAATTAATATCAAAAATTCGTGTTGTGTTATCATATCCTGTTATATCGAGATTAAATATCATACCAATTATAAAATTTTAATGTATATAAATATAGAATGTAATTCCCAAAATTTCTCCCCAATTCCTTTTTGATTTATTTATTTATTAAAAAAATTTTTACGTACTTGTAATGAATTATAATAATAGGCTTAATAATTAATAACAAAAGCTTTGGTTTAACCGCATGGTTGCTCAATTATAATTGTAATATAACAACCAGTTATATATAATAAATTGATAAATTAATATTGATTTATTTTAATCGATATTTTTTTATATTAAAAAAAGTTTTCAACAACTCCCCACATTCTCGCATCAACTCGCTATTACCGACCATTCAAAAAATAAAATGTTTAGAATAAGACGTTCTAACTGGAAAACTTTACATGATTCTACTTACCTTCTTTTACAACAAAAAAACATTTCACAACAAAATAATTCAAGAAATGTTCCAGAATATAGAATAATCACTAAAAGTTTTCCACATTACAGAAGTAATTATATATTTATAATTCATTAGATTTAAAATAATTTTTTTATTAATAATATATATTCATACATTCGTATATTATATAGTCGCTGGTAATGATGATCTAAATCAAATTCGATTAGAATTTGATTCATTACTTCATGATATAGAGCATGAAATGGAGGGTAAAATCACATCAAAAAAAATACTTAAACATGTAAAAGATTGGTCAAGAGGTGAAAATGTAAGAATATTTGCTTTTTAAAAAAAATTTAAATAATTCATATTTTCTTACAATAAAGATGACGATGATAATGGTAATGAATTTTATAATTTGACAGAATTCTTTTGAAGATGATGGTGGATACGCAACAGATGCTTCTATATCACCAGAAGATGGAAATACATCAGCAAATGAAGATTATAATGATCCATATCTCTTGGCACCTCATGAAATTGTTAATTCTTCCTCCTCTTCAACAAAGTCTGAAAAAGGAAATGTTAATGATGATGATATTGTTGTCAATAATGATAATAACGACGACAAAAATAACAATACCGACAAAAATAAAAATAAAAAAAATAAAAAAGGCAAGAATAAAACCAGAGAAGACGATAGTCATCAACAGTCATCACAAATTACACCATCACATGATCAATTAGATTTTACAATTAATCAACATAGTAGCAATTCAAACTCAAATTCTGATTATTCAGATGGTGAAGAAGATCAAAATAACAACAATGTGTCTATTGGTAATATTGCTCCACTAGAGGAATTGTTAACAATTGGTACATCTATGCTTGACTCATTCATGAATTGGATAGAAGGTCCACCAATAACTGATAGAAAAGTTAGCAGTAATGTGGCTTCTTTACCACCAAAAAATACCAATAATAACCCCAACTCATCAAATAATAAAAATCAAACAATACTTGATATCCCAATGCAATTCATTGATTTGTTAACTTATCCCGATATTGATCCAAAAGCATCAAAACCTTCTTTTGCAGGTAAATAAAGATATTTATGTGTTTTCGTGTTTATGTGTATTTGCTGATAATTATTTAACAAATAATATTGCACAGTTCTTAGAGAAATATCATTCGTAAAACAAAGGAGAAGAACATTAATCATAGTTACAATTTCTATTATTATAATAAGATATTGTTCATTTGATTTATTTCTAATAATATTGTTTGCATGTAATTGTACAATGTTATTCTTGATGAAAAATTCTGGCAAAGTTAATGTTACTATGGCAAAAAGGTTTGTAGTTCTTCATGTTACACACACACTTATATATATTATATATATTATACATTAATACTTTATTACATCAATATAAAATTTAGAGCTGTAAGACAAAGAATAGGTTGGGCAAAACAGTGGGCAGGTTTATTATTTAAAGCTAGAGCGCAATCTGGCAATAATAATAATATTATTATTGCTGCTAATAATAACACTAATAATTTGTTAAATATATCAAATATAAACAATAACAATAATACCAGCAACGCTATTATTAGTAATATTAATAGTTCTAGTAGTAACAGCAGCAGCAACAACACTAATAACAGTAATAACAATAGTAACAGCAACATTATTAATAACAGCATTAATACCCATAATAATAACAGCAGCAGCAACAATAACAACAATAACAACAATGGCAGCAACAACAACAATAACAATAAAAAATGTAATGCATCAAATTTTAAAATGGTTTCAGCAACTTCGTATACTGCTGTGATGACAAAATCGTCTTCACAAGATGCAATTCAAAGTGGTAGTATGAGTGATACTTCTTATGGTGGGAATGTGCCAACAAAATTTCCACCAAAGCGTGGAGGATTTTTTCGTAATAAAGTAAATCAAAATTCATCATCAAACCACTCTTCTTCCAAAGACAACAATAACAATAATATAATAATAACTTCTATAGACTCGCCATTGCCACCGCCTATATTAAATAGTAGTTCAAATGTTGATTTAGTTGGATCATCGTCATTATATACAAATAGTACAAATAATTCATCACTATTATCATTATCACCTACAAATATCAACAACAACAACAACAACCACAACAACACTAGTAATTTATCTTTAAATTCTGGTCCATTATTAGGTACAGCATCGTCATCGTCAACAGCAATAACAAATCAATCAAACACACTAATACCTATATCACCAACAATCATTGGTTCTTTAAATGATTCATCATCAACAACAAATTCAACGACGAATAATGCATCATTAGAAAAATCAACTTCTAAAAGAAAATTCTTTGCAAAACGTAACAGTATCAACTTGCTCAACAATAACTCAAACGTAAATAATAATAATAATAATAATAATAATCAAGATTCAGTCGTTGTTGCTACTACTCCAACAACCGATACAAATAAATCCCCTCATAATAGTCATCACCACCATTATAACAACATTACAACAAATTCCTCGAATATTAATAACCCAAGTAATGAACTACCTGAAATAAAACCATCCGCAAATGATCTTATGGAAGGTAAATATCAATCATCATATAATGACGAGAAATTATAACATTTCTCATTTCATAATAAATATTACAAGTCCAACTAATGAATTAATATTATATTGTTTTATAACTTTAGTAATTAATGTAGTAGATGAAAACTTAAACCACAATAAATTTGCTTTTAAGAACAGTAATTATAATGGTAATATCTACGATTATGATGACAGGATTCCAGCTTCTAATTAAAAATTTATTTTATCAATAGATTTTATATATTAAATTCAACACAAAAGAATCATTCATTTTTTCTTATTTAATTTTTTTGCATTTTAATTTTTTCTTTGTAAATTATTTTTTTTTTTTTTTTACATTTTAAAACAATTTTTCTTTTATAAATATTTATTTTTTATTTTTTAATTTAATATTTTGATTTTTGTATTTAAAAATAGAGTGTAGTCATGTGATTATATATATTTAAAAACCAATTTTCATGGGACGAAAATTAATACAAAATTTAGCATGTATCTAAAATCATTTATTTAGTTGCTTGAAATTAGAAAATCATTTCAAAAAATCATGTAAAGTTAAAAAAAAGAACCTTCTAATCTTAAATAAAATAATTTTTTGTAAGACCTCTTAAATTTAAAGGTTCGTTTCTTTGAATAGTAAGTATATAGGACTTAGGGAGATGATACAGTGCGGATCATCTATACTCAAAAGTTAAAATTTTTGAAATATTATGTGATCCACACATTGGATTTTAAAGAACCCACCACCATTCAATTCAGCTTTAAGAGGGGAGTCTATTAATCTAAAAAAAAAAAATTTGTCCCAAATTTTCTTTTCATAGATTTTTTAAATTTGAAAGTTATGCTCAGAAGTGCAGCATAATGGACATTCGTTTATCACATTGTGATTTTGATTTCATTGGCTAAATTTTATGACGATCACCCTCCAAACAATCACATAAAAATCAAATTTTATAAGATCTTTTACAAAAACAAAAATTTAAAGGTTGAAACTATATAATAGTATTCTATTACCTTAAGTTGAAATTTATTAATAAAAAAAAGTATATATAAATTATAAATATAATTTAAAATTATTACATAAAAATTATTTAATAATATTATTTCTTTTACAACAATTAAAATCCCTATTATTATTAAAAAATGTCTCAATATAAATTATTGTCAAGTTTTGGATTGTGAGTCAAACAAAGATATCAGAACATTTACACCTGGTGCTGAAAAAAAATCTCAAGAAAAAGAGACACTCTATGTATAATTATCTTAATATTGGTGATAAAATGTGTCTTAAACATTATTTAATGATTGTAGAGCCAGATAGGAATGTTTTAAAAAAAAAATTTCATCAAATTTTTACCAAACTAATTTGTCTGATTTAAATGATAATTCTTCAAATAATTTTGAAAATTGGTCAGATATAAAAGTTGATATGGCAAATGATAAATCAAATTTAACAAAAGATAATTTTGATCTTTTATTGCAAAAAATATCTAATATGGGGTCAGAATTGAATGTTTATAGAAATAATCAAATTAGTAAATCTAATAAATTCAGTTATAAAATTAAAATTTTATCTGATTCTTCATTTTATCTTCAAAGGGATTTTAATTCAAATCTTGAATTAAAACCAGATAGATTTAAATAATGATTGAAAAATATCAGCCTATATTAATTGGAATTTTTGATGAATTAATTGAAATATTTGTGCCAACTAATAGGTCTGAATTTAATAAGGAGAATGCTAAAAAAAATGTTGTTGTATTTGTTACTTGTTAGCTAGTTTGAGAAATAAGTTTATTAATTCTTTACAACTTGAAATTGGATTATACTTATCATCATCTGGAGCAACAGTCGAATCAATAGACTTATTGTCAAAAGTGGGTATATCAGTAGACCACAAGACTGTAGAAAGACTTAAACAAAAAATTGAAACTGATCACCCTAATAAAATTAATGATTATTTATTATATAATGTAATTAATATGTATATATTATTAAATATAATTTTTAAATATTACTAATTACTTTTTGTGTATTTATAGTCAGGAAAATTATTTTGTTTTAACTTGGATGATTATCATTCAATTCACTCTTTCAGAGCAC